CTTTTAATGAGATGTCATATATACTAAGTCTTTCTTAAAGGTGATTTTTCTCAAATGTTCAAAAGCATAGCTTGGATCACATCTACAGAGAACAATTTGAATCCTGTTAAGAATGAAGAAAACACAAAAAAGTTTCTCAATAAGAAAAATACTGCAGACACATCATGTACACTCCTCCAAAATGTGGACAGGCCCTTTATTCACCAGCCTGATGTAAAGTTTCTATATCACGCTGCTGCTTTGTCTTGGTTTCATCTTTCCACTCCTCATTTTTTAGGACAAAACAGCCCAGCCAGTACAGCTGGAGACAAGGGCTTGATCTAGGTGAGAGAAGAGTCATTCAGACTCCTGCTGGAGACTGCTACAAAGGATTTCAGAGGAGCAGGAGCATTAATAGGCCACTTCCAGTGGGACAGTGAAAGCTGAGGAAATTTAAATGGGTTCACAGTTTCCAGAAATGAATTCTCTTTGTCATGAATCATTTAATGACATATACACAGGTCCTGATTTAAAGGATGTTTTCTTTTTATTTGTCTGGGGCTGCCAGTGTGTCTTTACTCAAAGATGAAAATTTCTCTGGTTTTGTACTAATTCAGAACAAATACAAAAAGACACAGTTCTTCTACAACTGTGATAAAAATGAAGTAACATATTACATAGGAGATATTGCACAAGTAGATGCAGAGATCAAAAGCTGATTAGCAATCTAACAATCAATTAGTTAATTACTATTATTTGTGTGAGAAAGGGGTCCAAAGTCCTCTGTCAGACTTAAAATATACTTTGCTCTGCATATTTTTAGGGACATGGGTAAACACAGTCTATGGTCCAAAGAAAAAACACAAAATTATGTATATAAAGTAATAGTAAGGAAAAAGAGATTAATTATAGGAATAGCAAAATCCCCAGGCACTGTGGGGAAAGAATTTAATATTTAGTTTTTCTGATTGATTGCATGCCCATGGGTGAGCTAGTTCTGTTCAGCTTAAGCAGTCAGGGCAGGTCAGCTACAAGAGAAGGAGCAAACCACCAGCACATTATGTTCACCAAAAAGGGCACTAATGATGGATGCCATACAGAATTCCTAGTATTCCAATGAAATCTTAATTAGAAATATGTATTCATTTGATTTCACTAATTACCTGACATAACTTTGTGCCAAAGTACTATCTTTGAAACACTTTGTCATTATTCAGAATTGTCTTTTCCTTTATCCACAAGTGAATTAACACAATCTTGGTAGCAGCTGGATAGCTCAACATCTTCTGATCTGCTGAAAGAATCAACAATTTGAAATAATTAGCAAATATTTTTTGACCTGATTTCCAAAGAGGAGCAGTGAGCTGGGTATGCCATGAGGGAACTCTTTTTCAATTCAAGAGTCTTGTGCAGGGATGATTTCTACAAAAGATATACAGTTCTTTAGCAGAGACTGAAAATTACAAACCTTCCAGAAAAAAAAAAAAATCTATCTCTGCTTTTATAATTTTAAAGTGCGGCTTGATGTTTCACAATTTACCTTTATTCCAAAACCTCTATTTCACATGCTTCAGTTTAAGGATAATTAAGTAAAGGTCTACAGTATGGAACCACTCAATAATTGAATACACACATTAAATTCTGTCTGATGTGCCTTCAAAAGTAATCCAAACGTCAAATTCTAGAGAAAGTTCAAACACACACCTTAAATTCTGACTACATAAAACTTTGTATATGTGTCCATATGCATTGGGTACACATAGTAAAGGATTTCTAATATATGGATGCCATCCTCTACTCAGAAACTTCCATATAAAACAGGGCAGTTGCAAGGCCTCCAAAGGGGTTCTTGGACACTTGCTCTTCTTCCTTACTAGGATATAGAATTGTCTGTTGGAATGGGATTAAAAAAAAAAAAAAAATAAAGTGTAGTGGATATGTGATTTATACTGTGCACATAGAACTGCTTGTAGAAAAATTGTTATCAAACAGGAAGGGATTGCAGGTTTGGTTTTTTTTTTTTTTTTTTTTTTTTTTTTTTTACTGAAAGGCATTCATTCCAGAATCAATTAATCTTCTCTGGAAGTTCATGCAGCTGCCAGGTACACTCAGATGAGTGTTCTCTGTCCTCTGGTCTTCTATGGCTCCTTCTGGCTCCTTTTTGTGCCTGGGCTCTGACATGAACAGCCTTGGCGGATCCTTGATGAAAACAGCCTTAAAGGAAGCTTAGACCTGGTTCATTACTAGCCTTGAAAGAAAGAAAGTTACATCTGGAAATTGCAGAAAGGCCGTAATTCACACAAGATAAAGTTGGATGTATAACATAAATAGAATTGGAAAGTTTGTGTTGTTTCAACAGATTGGTCTGTTAATGTATGGCCTGGTGTAGCCAGCTGTATTTAAATATATATACACACACATGGATACACATAGATATGTACATACTTGTAGACATTACAAATCTTAGAATGACAGAGTCAATCTTGGAAGTGAAATTCCAATTAAAAAGACATGCTGTTGTCCAGCTTGACACTGTAAAATATAAAGAAAAAGAACCTTCTAAAGTAATAAGTCTTTCCCTGTTACTTATTAGTAGCTATATAATTTAATCACTATTCCTCTTTATTCACTACATAAATGTCCTCATTAGATATTGACTCTAATAATGTTTGGAAGCCTGGAAGGAGACATTTCTGACCTTGAGGAACCGAGAGTTCCAGAAAGATTATTAAATTTGGAGAAAAAAATCATTTACAAAGTAATGTTATGGCTGTGTGTAAAATGTTCTTTTATAGCCCATCTGAACACTAACACCTCATTTGCCAGCACAGTCTCTGAAAAGCCGCCTCAACTGTAAAGAAATAAAAGTCATACCAGACCTTACAAAGTCAGAGCTTAACTCACCATACAAATGTGTGCTTAAATATAACAACTTACAAAAAAGTTTCTCAATCAAACATGAATGTGTAGGTCTCAATACTGAAAGTTTAATAAGCATTTAAAAGCTGCTTTGTATGAACTGGTAGGAAATGCTCACTTTAGGTTTAATGATTTTTCTCTAATTAAATTTTCCATAATTTATAGCAGATGAAGGCCCCTTGCTGACTGTCCTGTACTGTGTGATCATGCCCTACCTTGTATCTATGCAAACATTCTTTTGAATTATCCAACTGTTAAACTATTTGATGTCAAAATGTTTCTGGATTGGTACTCAGAGTTTTTATGTTTCTTGCTTAACATTGGTTTGTAGTTTCTCTGTACATAAATACATCAACCTGCATTAAAAACAGAGCCTTTATCTATACAAGTTGCTTGGGGAGTAACTTTCCCTGGTGCATAGGACAAGAAAAAGCATTGTTTTCTCTTTGATTTAAAGAGGTGATTTATTAATGTTTATTTTTAAAGCTTCTGTTTCAAATGTGCTAACTCCAGAGTTTTTATATATTGCCCAGATTTACTTATCCATGTTTACAGTCTGATTTATAAACTGCATGCCTTCTGACTCAGCAGGAATCTTTGATTTAGTACAACATTTTAAAAGTAAGTTTTTTAGTAGTTCAATATTTAACTGAATTCAGAGAAATTACAAATGAGTGAATGCATAGCTCTTGCTTCTGATCCATTTGGGTTTTCTCTTTTAGAATTTTTATATTGTTGAATATACAGGAAAAAATTCACTGTGAGAGTGAGGGAATTTCAAAAAGTAAAGTTAACCAAAGCCCTCCAGTAATTAGAGTTCCTGGGGTTTAAATGTCAGTAAAAGCAGGCTTCTAAATCACCTAAACACATTGGAAAATACTACTTTTTATCTCTGCAGTTGAATAAAGCCTTTTTCTGTGTATTCAAACAGATGCACTGTCTGAGCTTCCAATTTGCTTCTGAGCCATCAATATTTTGCAGATGGTTTCTCCAACGGGGGTTATATACACACCCTTAATTCTCATTATTGGCATAAAAAGTCCCTGACAGAGATGTCTGGGATGTATATTTGTGTTAAGTGGTTTAGAAGAAATAGTAAAGAACTGCCCAGAGTAGAGGTAATACCATATTCTCTGTTTTCTGCCTGTTAACACAAAGGTACAAACATAGTTACTCAGAACATGAATTATCTACAATTCTCTGCTTCTCTTTCTCTTTACTAAATAGAAACTTCAAATATTTAGGATCTGCTTACAGCTTAAACCAGCTTTTGAGGAGTAAAGCTTTCATTAACCTCATATGAGAATTCTTATTCCACAAAATTAATTGAGTTTTAGGTCACTGATATGTGAATAGAAAAAAAAAGCCATAACAAAAGAAAGCCAAAAGAAACCAGTTCCATCCATATATGAACTATGCTGGGAATTAAAAAAAAAAAAAAAAAATTAATTGTGTTCCTGGTCTGCCAACCCTTGTGACACATTTGCAGACAATCTGAGTGGGAATATGTGGCCAGGGAGACTGTACAGCTAATCAGCTGTTTCTAAATCTGTCCCTGCCCTTGCCATTATATTGAATACTGATGAGGGCAGAAAGACAATAGGAGCTGTCACTTCAGCAATGACACATATCCCATATCCCACTTAGAGTTTTTTCCCATGGGGGTGAATGTGTTTAAATACTCTGGAGCTGAAAACTGCTTTGTGGATAAGAATTATTGATAAAACATGCCTTCCACGGTGTGATATAAGCTAAATAAGCAATAATTTGTTTTGTTACACAGAGGTACGGCATTTCCAGGTATTCTTCCAATCTTTTTGCCTGCTCGTACAACCCCGTCTGTTCATTCCATCGAGCCTAAACAACCACACACGAGATGGAATCAATTATTGTGCTCATTGC